CAGTCCATTGGAGAGGGGACAAAAGAGGGAAATGGCATGGTTCAGGAGCTGATGCTAACTCTTCAAGCTCTGGGCCTTCCTAGACCCGTGCGTGGAACCCTGGCCAGCCAGCTAGTTCGGGAGTTTCACGGCAAGGTAGAGAGATTCAGAGGACGCTCTTGAGCTGTCTTACTTGGGGAGAGGATCCTGTCTTCAAAACCATCTCTAGAAAGAATGGCCCGATGACAGGAATGGTTTTAGAGATCTGGTGGCCATTTGTTCTAATTTGCTTTTTGCTGTGATAAAACACTGACCAAATGACGTGTGGGGAGGAAAGGGTTGGTTTCAGTTTACAAGCCCACGGTTGAGGGAACTCAGCTGAAGTGAAGACCATGGAGGAACACTATTTACTAGCTCATTTCTAGATCGTTCCGCTATTTTATCTTATTTTGGTTTTGTATACAGTCCATCTGCTCACCGCAGGCCAGGCTCTCTTACAGTAAATAGCAGTTAAGAAAATGCCCCAACAGGCAGGCCCACAGGCCAGTCTGATGGAGGCAATTCCTCAGATAGAGATTCCCTTTTCTCAGGGTGTCAGGTTGACAAAAACCATTAACACTGTTGTTGTTTCTGAGACCTGAGTTCATATGGCCGAGGGGAACCAGGGTACTTAAGAAGGCCGCGACAGAGAGAGTTCCAGGACAGCCAAGGCTACACAGCGAAACCCTGCCTCGAAAAACAAAAGGTCCATCCTGTTTGTGCTTCATTGGCTTCTGATGGTTTCTTCCACTAGGTCTCTGAGCTGCTGCCTTCGCTGCCCCCAGAGTCCATGCAGCCCCTCCTCAGCTCCCCACTGGATGCGTCACAGTGGGTAAGAGCATGTATAGGTGGCTGTGAACAGTATCCTCACCCAGAGATGGAACCCTTGGTGTGACCCAGACCTCTTCTTCCAGGAAGCCCTGGAGTCTCTGTCCCAAAGCCTAACAGAACAGTACTGCTGCCGCCGCTGCCTCCTCCTGAAGCGTCTGGACCTTACGACATCTGCTTTCCACTGGGGTGACCGGGCAGAGGTGTGGGGACCTTATTAGCAAGGATAAGCGGGCCGTTGGGAGGGACAGCTGCAGGGCAGACGAT